GATTTCTTGATGGAGTTCAAATATGAAGCAGGTCCGCATTTAGCCTGTTAGTCGGTGTAAAGTATCTAAGCGCGGTAGCCCTAATAATGCGTGAAACAATTTCGAAATGAGGCTGAGTAAAGGTGTGAATTGTAGGGCGTTGTACAAGAAAAGAGATAAAATGATATGAGTATAGTTAAGTGACTTCTTTCCAGTGCGGCACTGATTGGCTGGCCGGAAAAGAATTGAAACAGGCAATGTCCCTCACAATTCCTCGACGCATTAAAGGTCCACTTGATTGCGGCCGTATTTCTTCTCGGGGGTCGAGCGCTTTCATTAAGCACCCCGCCAATACGGTTAAATGTAAGCTATTGTGAAAGTCGAAACTTCCAATTGAGTCTTTGGTTATTCCCTTATAACAGGTAATTCATTTGAACCTAAGTGTAGCTACATTCTTGCATTAGGTGACGAAATCCTTTTTCTATCTCCAACACTGACTATTACCATACAAAGCTCTTCCATTAAAATCAGACAGAGAACTCCCCGATTCACCTCTTTGTCCTAATAATGGCTCTGCATATGGCCTAATCCGATTACCATACAATTCCGATAGCCACATAAGCTCAGGTAATATCCCATCACTGCGTACAAGAAATTTTTCACACTACCAGTATTCGTACTAATTATTAGACTTCCATTTCACGTTTGTTTCTCTATTTTGATTCAACACAAAATGTTCACCTAATAATACAAAAATAAAAAATACTATACAATGCCTGGCTTGTCTTTTATTGATTGTTTGCCTCCAAACGATTCGTAGAATCTTAAAACCAAATTGGAGTATAGTAAATGATTAAATTGTTTTTGGATACGCGATAGGCTGTCATTAATGCGGTGTTGGGCAACTCTATCAATAAATGTACGAATACTATTTTTATAAAATTTTGGTTTGTTGCAATCTCCTAATTGCTATAGAATAGACGATTCTTGTCAATACGAAATAATCATTTTATTAAAAATTCAGCATCACTTAATTATCGTGTATACTCTTAATTTTTATTGCCATAATAAATAAAAATAACAATAATTCAAGTCAAGCCTTCCTAAATGTCTCACAAGTAATGCATTTAGTAAGGCTGTAAACTATTGTTTAAGTAAATATAGTTGCAAGGTTGAAATAACATTGAACAAAGGAAGAGTGCGTAGTTTTGAGGGAAATAATTGATATAATAGAAGAGTCATATCGATAAGTTTGAGGAAAATTTAGCATAATGGTTGTGATTTAGTGAGCTTTGCAAACTAGCAGGGTTGCGATTCCTGTCTGCGGAAGGTGAAGCCGTCTGTAAAGCCATTACCTGGTCAATTACATCGAATGGAATTGAGGTTTTGGAACTGGAGTTATAATTGAAATCTGTGGGATAGTTGAGATTCCCTTAAACCTAGTAATTGTCAGCCTTTGTATGGGAGTGTGGGAAGTGATAATGTTCTTCAATTGGCAATTCTGTTGCGGACTAACGAAATTTTTAGTTGACCTTAAAAAAGGGACAAGCGTTCAGTTTCCTGATGGGTTGTAGCTGGTCGAAATTAGTGGATATAGCAAGAGTAGCAAAAGCATATCGAGCCGAGATTCCCCTAATGTAATAATGCTTTAATCTGTACCCGCCCTAGATACTCGACAGCTTGTATGCCAATGTCCGTAGAGCGCTCCTCCGAACGAACTTAGACATACGGTGTATCATCAATCATGAAAGCAATCAAGAAGTCGCGGAACGCATCATGTATTTATTCTTTCTTCCTACAAGAAAATAATCGTAATTAGCCTTAACTACCTCTTGGGGAATAAACTCGAAACTCACATCATTTTATCTTGGCAGAAAATGTGACAATTCAACTTGAACCAGCAATTAACATCTACATCTACATCCACAATCACACTTACGTTCGGCTATCTGAAATGATGTTACGTTTAGGATTATTGAGGCCGATTCTAAAGTGCTCACTTAGATACAATCAACGACACTCAAATTTTAGGAATACGGTGCCTCAATAATCGGCACGTTGGATTAAGGTTTCAAGAGTACGTGATATTTAAATAGGTTAGAATAGGATCTTATATTTCCTTATGTAACCAGGACGGCATTTTCGGAACAGTGTGTTCTATCTACAAATCTAGGCTTGGCTTAGCTTCCACATTAATTCAACCCTCGTGATATAAAGTCAACAATTATACTACGTTGGATAATTCCATTTTTTTCAATATAAGGGATCTTAAACTGACGTGTATCGCCGTCCTCAAAGCATCACTACTTAATTAACGACGCACTAATAACTATATCGCGCATTTTAATAACAGTTAGTAGCGTCTACTGAAAAATAATAAAGCAATGAGGAATCCAAAAATAATAAAATATAAAGGTGTTCCTTTAAAAAAATTTAAATTGATGTCACTTCCGGTGAAACAAGAAGCGGCATTGATTGAGCATCTATCCCAAACAATAGATGACAAAAAACTGTTCAACTTTGTTCTAAAAAATAATGCAGTTATGGCTTCGAACGTGTTTCATAATTCAGCCTGTATGTAAAAAAAATCATTGCGTAGGCGGCTTTTCGGAATTAAAATCAATTTTTTTCTAAAATGGTGCGTCGTACAAAAATAAAACAAAAGAAATTTTTTAAAGAAAATTAATTAACAAATAAAACAATTCATAAAATGGTTTCCAAAGCAACACTTTTCACCTTAAAAAGGTTAAAAGTTTCACAATTTTTGATAGTACTAGTAGATTCAGCGCCAAAATAATTACCCCAGATGCAAAATTTTGTAAATTTGCCTCAACTGAGTTAATTGAAAAAAGAGATCTTTTACTTGCCATGTTCAGAGGGCTTTAACTCCCTTAGGAAGCATTTCCTAAGAACGTAGCTCCAACGAACTTTTTTTTATATTGACTTGAAGAATCAGCCCCGAAATCTTGTAACGTTTTTTTCGGACACTGTATATAATTTGTAACCAGTTTCTATTCTTATGAAAAACAAACGATAGGTTCTCTCTCCACTTCAAAAAAAGTAACTACATAAAATTTTACTTTTGGTTATGACATAATGGTGGTCTTGAAACACACAAGAAAAACTTTAAAACTTTTTGAAACACTATAACGAAAAAAATCAATTTAAACTCAGTAAAGTGTGTTAATTAATTAATTGAGTATAAAGCTTTAATTAGCTTGAAGCCAATGAATGAATTAAAAATAGTTTGTAGAGATAAACACATACATCGTCAGCAGTAAATTAAAAAAGAGACAAATAGCGGATCTTTATCAAGAGGTTAGCTAAAAAGCAAACATCTTCGTAATAGCCTCTTCAATTTGGCCACGAAGAGCAACTACTCGAGTTTATCCATCGTTCTTAATGGGAATACTTCAATCCCAAATGAGAATCAACAGAGTTCTTTAAAGTTGGAGGAAGCTATAGACTTCTAAAGTGGTTTGCTTTTTAAGCAAATATAAATTAAAATGGGGAAACGCTAATATTGTTTTAATTTCTTATTGAAAAATTAGTATTTCCGGATTCTTAAATCATCCACTCTAATGAGTGCAGAAAGCAACAGAAGGTATATTTTAACTACTGTTTTCTATTACGTAAAATAAGATGCATCTCTAAAACTTTTTAACAAATAAAATTCTTTCAGTACACTGCAAAACTCAAGCAATGCGAACACACATTTTTTAAATACAAATTATAATATTTTCTCTTTAAAAATAAAAATATCAAAACCTTTAAAAAGTAACTGAATAGTCTAAAAAAATTTGTTTTTCGAAAAATACAACATAATGATATCTAGTGTTTTATGACAGTAGCAAATTTGCCATATGCGTATGCCCAGAGAAAAATTAAGTCTTGAGCAAATTTAATGAAAGTCGTAGCAAAAATTGCTCTTGTAAAAAGTTATGTCAAAAATAAAATGTGTGTACAGCAATAAAATCTTGAAAGAAAATCAAATTTCATTGGCTCTTAAATCTCGAACGAAAGTCGTAAAATTTAAATATTATACGAGAAAAAGGAGTCCAACTTGGTCGAATATAATACAATTTAGAATTCCTTATTGAGTCCAGTAGTCAGTTGGCGATCAGCAACATGTCCCATGAGAATTGTGGACTTGTCCAAGATTTAGGTCTGCGGAAAGTGTCTCTAACCCTTCGGAAATCTCATATACCAACCCCATGACTACAAAATAATTTAGAATGGGGCGCATGAATTTATATTATTTTTAATATAGTTGCTGGCAAAATACACGTTGGTGTACGAAATGCGAGTGTTTCAAATGTCACGAATAAGTTGTCTTTAACTTGACAGATATATGTCACTGATGACAGCAAACATAAAACAAACGAAGAGTCATTTTTTGTTTAGGGTTAACTTAAGCCACAGAGATTTATAAACACTGTGTACACCATCAAAAAAAAAACAAAATAAAGCGTAGAAAACTATTTAATGCAAACAACAAAGTTTAGCTTTTTTCCTGTTCATAAATTAGTATTTTGCTGGTTGCGTTTGTCTTGCTTCTTGTATAGTGCTTGAAAAAGAGAGAGATGATTCATTTGAACGTTAAGGGCGCAACCAAAATTTCTCATATATTTCAAAGTAAGTTCAACGCGAACGATTGTACAATCTTAAATGCATTGTCAAAAGTATTGCAATTAATTATACTGAATGGGCAACTCTCATCTTTTTGTCTGAGCAATCTGCAGTAACAAATGAACAATAACTTACGAGGGCACAGTTGCTAATTAAGAAATACATGTTTGAAACTTATAATTAGTGAGGATTGTTCCAGTCTTAACAGCGGTTATGCTGATGAACGTTAACAATCCCATTACGTTTATTCTCGATGCCCTCTCATTTATAATTTACCCTCTAAAAGTATAATTAAATCTTTCGCATAACCAAAATCGCAAAATGCTTATGTTCATATCAGCATTTTATTGCTAAATTGGATCAATATGTTTAATCTTAATTATTTTTCTTACCGACAACGTGGAGATATCCGAATTGTGTTTTCGCAGTAACGGTATTGATTTGGCACATATATCGTCCTTTATCTTCCTCTTGTACATTACTTATGTGTAAAAACCAAGTCCTATGTTTATCGTGAGTAACGCTAATCCGAGGATTGCGGGTGATCACATGGTTGTGAACAGTCAAGATGGCTGACTGTTCAAAATGCATCCACGCCACCTGTAAACAAAAATCTATCATCATTATTTGTCAAAAAACAGTTTACTGTTTGCTACACTATAAACAAGGTTCCAGAGACGTTACAAAATACAAAAACTTTTGATATGTTGATTTTATGACAAACCCTATATCTATCTAGAATCTCACTATTACATATTGACTAGTAATAATTCTTTTAGTTTCCTACAACCTGTAACATACTGAGCCAAATGTTATTGATTCTGTATTTGAAGTATTTCTTGATTTAATCTTCGAACTAGAAGTTTGAGTTGATGATTTTGAGTGAGGGAGAACTAACTACAAATATGATTGACGCTACTCGTCCTGTATACTAAATCTTTCCCCGCGGCCTATTTTGCTCATCTGTGTCCCTTTAGACCTGCTTCGCGACATCCTACAACTCGCAAGTACAAATTTGTTAGAAAACTACCTAAGCTCAAATAATTTAATAAAATCTCTTTACAACTTACTCCTACACACAGAGAAATATTGTTTAACAGTGAGTAAAATACTCTCGAATTAAATAATTCTTAATCTTCGATATACGCAAGTAAATATATTCTCCAAAATAGAAAATTATTTGCTCAACCTGCATTTCTTGAGTAGAAACATAATTGATTTAATATAAATACTTCCATTGAGTTTTAAATCAAATAAATACAACATTAAGAGTAAATAACGTTTATTATTGAAGTAAAATCTACTAATTCTTGAAGTAAAAAATAATAATTTCTTCTGAAATATGGAACTTTTGGAAGAAAAAATTGTTTTCTTGACATAAAAACTTACGCATTCAATTTATGAAACTGATTTATTTAATTTGAACGCATCCTTATTTGAAGCTAACAATTGTAAAGTTTCATTCAAATAAATATTTTTTTGATTGAAAAATTCAATTTTGTTGGGTAAATTATACAATAATCTTATTACAAAGATAATTTTATTATAAAAATAATGAACATGGCATTCGTACAACTGTTATATAAAATTATGTCAAACTAAAACATTAAAAAATTAAACATTCTAAGATTAATAGGAAATCAAAATATGCATTTTTGAAAGCGAAACATACAATTCACCTTTCGGTAGACTACGTAATATAGTAGGAACGGAACTACACAAATCATTTATAGAAAATGRAATTGCTCTTTGCCCATCAATGCGCTCAACTTATAAGCTGTACGTATAGTGTAAAGAATAATTAATTGTTTTCAACTGCTTACAAACAAAAATACATCCTTATGAAGCAAATAAACTTAATTTGACTCATCTGAAACATTTCTTCAATCCATTCAGTAACAACATCTAAAATATTATACCGTATTAATTTCATACCAGGACAAGCAACTGTATTTACCTTTAAATTTTTGAATGACAGTTTTGTCAAGTCTGCACGATTTTAGCAATAATTTCTCCATTGTACAGTAACTGCAACTTTATTTAACTTAAAAAAACGTCTTGATCTGAGCTGCGTTGGGTCTCACTCTGGTCTCTCT